CCATCCTGTGTGTGTGTGTGCCCTGCAGTGGACTGGCGTTCCATCCTGTGTGTGTGTGTGCAAGCGCCCTGCAGTGGACTGCCATCCCATGAGCCTGGTGCTTGCTGGCATAGGACCAGCTGGTGAGGACCAGCCAGCACTCCTGTTCAGTGGATGGTGTGTTCAGGCACGAAGAGGGAGATCCAGCGGTTCTGGGCACTGCAGTGTCACAGCTGCACACTTCATCATTGAACAGGTCAGGCACCGCTTGCCTGGTCCAGACCCTCATCCTGCTGTTGGCAACAGCATCTGGGCAAACTGAGCGGTCCAGTCCGTCGTGGCGGTCCCATTGATCTTGTGAAGATGTTGTTTGGGTCCTAGGCTGGGATCTGAACCCAGGGCCCCAGTTTTTCATGCGTTCTACTTCACTGCCAGAAAACTCCACCTGCTTTATGAGGCTTTAGGCAGGACTGTAACATGCCTGCGTTACAAAGAACGTTCTGGAATTCAGGTGTATCAGCAGCTTTAGATACCTTTGTGTTCTTTCAGACGAAAATGCAGTTTCTCTAAGTGTTTGTTCATCACAGTTTGTTCGTGTGGAAAAACACTAAACTGCATCTTACAGAAAATAGGAAAGACTTCCACATTTACATTCAGTAATAGTAAAAAGGTAATACTACCACAGAGTCCTTTGAATACACTTCAGATTGGTTCTGCTATATTTTTCCATGGGTTTTAAGTGTCATGCCTAAAGAGCTCCTTGTTGCTTAACATAATTTCAACTTGTGTTCCTGATGTCTTATTTTGCTGCTTATCTTGTAGAGTTGACTTGGAAACACATTACACTAATCCACATTACATTTTATTTTTACATGGGTATGGACATTCTTGAATTTTAAACCCTCTTACATTGCTTGTGCTGCGGTTTGCATTTCTACCTATTTTTACTTGCTTGTACTTCTGTTGCTTGTTCAATCAAGTTATTTAAGCAAAACCTAACTTTTTTAAATCTACAATATCCCTTAGAATCTTATTTCCTTCTAGTTGAGTTCTAATGAATGTTTCCATAATCTCAATTAATCTTTTACTGCTCTCTTGCTGTGGCAGTACTAGAAACCCTTCTATTGTTTTAGACTCCCTTGCAATATTTCTCTCTGCATTTTGAAAACCTTTGCAGTTCATCATATTCCCTTTCTGTAACTTCGATCCTGTTTTTGTAGGAAATGTTTTCTATAATGATTTCTTTCTCATAGTATTCTTCACTGATTTATTTCCCTATTTGGGCATCTGCTTTCTTGACATTGATTCAATTCATCTCTTGACACATGCTTTCATTATTTCTTTGAACTTCAAGGTTTTCCTGGTTCTTGGTTGCCAGGCAACAGTACAACAGTGAAGTTCACTGCACGAAACCCTGCTCAGCTCTCAGGTGATTATGAGGAAGAGCTTGTCACCAGCCTACCAACCCGTGACAGACAGGAGGGGGTTCTCAAAGCCTCAGGAGAGTTATTAACATTTGAAAAAAACATATACAATACTTTCACTCCAAACATGTAGAATATAACAATTCATAATCCAAAGAAAATAAGGTTCTTATGACACCTTAGAAAATGGTTTAGGAGTATGAAACACTTACACTCTGCATTCTTAATTTTCAAGGTATTGTATTAAGCACATTACATTACAGTAGGGGGCTAATCTAATCTAGAGATTACACTTTTATATTGATCAAGACTCTTTCTTTTAAATTAAATATCAAATGAGAGGTAAATGACAAATTGCAGGTCTGGAGGAATTGCAGAAGGATTAATGTAGAACAAACACAATGGAAAAAGATGCAAAAGTTAAAAAAGAAATGAAAATTTTGGACTTTGCGACTAGAGAACAGAAAATGAATTAACCATCACACCTGAAACAGCACCGTCCGGGGAATTTAACAGACATCTCAATATATTTAATTCAATTATTGATCACCCAGGCCACAGTAGCTTGGATCTTACATTTCTGTAACATCTCAGATTCACATTAACTAAACCCAGTCAAACATCATCATACCCCGAGACCCTGAGCTGCTATCTTCTGTCTCATTTAACTTGGTAGACAATGCCTCCTAATGGATAAGTGTGGTAATGATGGACAAGGGATGTCAGCTTTGATAGTGCTTTGTGCGTACAGACAAAAACACAGTTTCAGTTTTGTATAGATGCTGGTTCAAAATGATAACGTGACTTCTGTTACCAAAGACTCCAAAGTGAAAATCTAAAGTTCAAGCCCAGGTCAAACAGCTGGTCTTCAACAGATTTTTTATTTAGAATTATTTACATTATAGGAATTGATCATTTAATAGTGACCCATTATTGCTGATTAGCAGGTGCTGATATTGTGTTTGCAGTCCACGAACATCTTGTAGTCTTTAACACTGAATTACTGAATTAAAAGAAACAACAACAATTTATTTAGATTCTGAAAAAGACAAATATTAAATCAGGGAAAGTAGGTCAATTTAATAATTTGGTATTTAATGTAAATTGCCAAGAAGTCTAATTGAAACCTTTTACAAAAATCATTTTCTGAATATTGACAATGCTGAGAGACTCAAGGACAGAACATGAGAGGGAGAGAAAGCAGGTCTGGGTATTGGCAGTCTGCATGGCCCACTGCCTTGCACAGGTGGTGGCCTGTTAGTCTTGCAGTTTGTGCTGGAATCCCACTTTCAGGAGGAGATGATGTTACATGTTCATCTATGACTATCAAAGCTGTTCGCTTCAGGCAAAATGTTCTTTTTTTCAAGAAAAAGGCTTATTTAAGTGTGGAGAAGTAGAACAATATTGATTGGATTTCTGTTTTATCTAATTGCAATGGCTCTTGCTGTCTGTAGAGAAGAATTAACTTTTACAGAAATATCCTTGAAATGGGATGTGAAATTGTCTCTGGGGAAGAAAGCTCTGCCAATCTGTCCTGTCTGTCAGCTGTCTGTATGCTACATGGTACATTCATTATTTCAAGTACAGGAATTTTCATTTTGTTTTCCTGCTTCCTTTTGTTCTCAGTTTGGAAATAACTTAATTATGAGTTCAATCAGCATATACGTTAGAAGAGCAGTTGGTCTACAGCAAACCCAGGGGTGTTTCCCTGGTGGAGAAACTGGAACTGCATCCCTGGCTACCTTTGGTCTCTTGCCAAAGGTGAAGAAGAAATCCATCATCTATGAAGAAAAGGGAAGGTTTTTTTCTGATTTTCCCTTAATGGACTCTGTCTGCCAAGTGTGCACTCTGCAAGGGTGAGAACAGCAATGTTCAACAGGACCCTTAGACGAAATGTCTTGAATTTGTTTATGAGCCAAAAAAGAGCACCAGAGGATTGAGTGAGGTCTGCTCATGAGTCAACTCCCTGCTGCCAGCGCAAAAGGAAATTCCCACATTTTGTGACATATGGAATCCTGTTTGGTTAAAAAGGCAAAAGCTACATTTCAGAAAGTGGCGACTTCTTTTGGATATGCCTTGATTTAGTTGTTAATCATAGTGACTCAATTTCAAGCAATTTTCATTTACTGTAACATCTCAAAATTAAACCTGCTAAATAGCATTTCACATGACATCTGTGTAGAAGAGATTAACAAGGAAACAAAGTAGAATTAATGATGCCATTTGGTTTAATTGTTTTGCTGGTGGTGTTCCTCTAGGAGGTGCATGTCCTTCATGGGGGTGATGTGCTGAAAGAATGCTCACTGTGACCTGACCCCCACTCATTGAAATCCTCCTCTTTGCTGGAGGGGGTTGTGGACTCCAGTGTGATGCCCTGCCTTTTGCCAAACACTTTCTCCTGCAGCTCGATGATGTCGTTGCGGATATCCGCCATCATTAGTAAGAGGAAATCAAAGGAACCTGGAGGACCCTGAGAAAACAATGGGGTCAAAGGTCAAAGAAGCAGAATGGAATAGAGATGAGGAATTTCAGTTTTTGCTGAATGGTAGAGATATGCATACAATAACTAAAAGAAGTCCAGCCTACTTTTAAAATGATCAATTTTAGATTGCTGTCTGACCCTAGCCCTAACAGTGTGGGAAGAATGCACTGAGAAAGCCAATTCTAAACTTGAAAACACACATGAAAACAAATGCCCATGCAGTAAATATAATGCTGAGGAACTCTTCACTACAAAACCAGATTTAATCATGTTTTGAACAAATCAGTAACAAATCAATTGTCAGTTCAAGCAAATCAGTTTACACAATCTGATTATTGGCAGCGCCAGAGAACAGCACTGTTTCACATTTACTGTCCATTGGTCACCAATTTTCATCTTGGTAAAGCTGAAATTTATGTACAAATTAACATTTTCTATTTATAGGCAGTTTTAAAATCCTGTTCTACTATCCAGATTTCCTTCAGGAAACACCTAGTTGAGATGCTATGATTGATTAGCTATTTAGTTACACAATAAACTTGTTTTTTCTCTTGTTTTCACCAAGTTCTAACAGCTTCTTCCCATTCAGTGTTACGAGGGTGCCAGTCTACCCTGGCAAGCAGCCGGCCCAGGACAGGGCGGTCCCAGGACAGGGCGCCAGTCCACCACAGGGCAGACACACACACACTTACAGCCGGGCCAGGTATCTCAGACGCCAGTTAATGTACCAGTGTGTTTTTGGACTGTGGGACGTAATCAGAACACCTGGAGGAAACCCATGCAAACCCAGAGGGAACATGCAAACTCCACACAGATTCAGATCCAGACGCACCCCAGTTACAGACTTGAACCCAAGACCCTACGCGGCGAAGCTGCGTTGCTAATCACTGCGCTGCCCTCCAGGACAGTTGTGTAGTAAAATTTTCATTTAATACGTTTCTTTTGTGTAGTCCTTTCATATTACAGAAATTAAATGATCACATGTGCTTTCCCTAGATGGTGTACATCAACTGAACTGTTGATGTACAGTATTCAGTGTGCTGCTCATTGCTAAATTCACTCTTAAAACGAATGCTTTCTTATTATGTAGCTTTTGGTATTTTAAATAAAAGACTATAAAAATAGGAGTTTATTTCTTTAAGTATCTAAAAAATATACTGAAAAGGCTAGATATTAGCAGGAAAAGTGTAAATATTCAGTCATCAAATGATCAGTGTCTGTGTCCAGATTGCTTTAGGACATAATAATTCAAATCCCTCTAAACTAACTAAAGCAACTTCATCATGTTTTCAAACATCACGTCTGTTTTTATTGTATGTGTAATAACAGGACATATGCTGTGATGAAAAACAAATGAGGCACTACCCATATTAACCAACAGATGATAATACTGCCACACAAGACCGTGAAACTGTACATTTCTTTGTGTTGAAGCCAGCGTTCCTCAGAAATGAGAAGGCAGGGCACAGGCAGTTATGTGTGAACAGGAAATGAACAGACTAAGTGAATGAATCGAGCAGAGGGACTCACGGCAGGGCCTCTAGGTCCGGGTAAACCTCTTTCACCCTGCAAAGCACAAGTGGACAGACCATTGAGACACAAAGCAAGGAGTCTGTTGTATATGCTGTGCAAAGGGGAAAGCAACTGGTTTTAGATCTCTTAGACTTTTCTAAATAAAGAAGTCTCCAAGTCTCCATTCTATTTAAACATGCTTGAACAACAATGCTTACAACAAGCCCATTCACAGCCTTTAATGATTTTTGTAGAGCTCTTCCTTCACAAATCAGATATTGTACTTACAAAATACTGTTCTATAATATATATACTAGCAAAATAAAATTAACATAAAAACACATGCAGATGAGGCCAGGCGTTTACTCAGAATTAGCAAGCCTTTCCCAGGAAAGCAGCTGGTTTTCTCAGTCATGCACTGCTTTGGCAGTGAGTTCACTCGTTCACACTGTCGGGGAAGAGCTCTCATGAAGTTGTTACCTTCTGCCCATTGCTGCCAGGTGCCCCTGGTGGTCCCTAGAGAGAGAAGAGCACAGGATTCAGTCATTCTCACTGGTGGAATTTAAATGGATTATCCTGAAAGTCCTGGGTACAAATCTTGCAAAGGAAAAGGAGAAGTGCAGATGTATGTCGCACTCTCTATACCTCATGGGCAGAGATTCCTCTGCTTGCTGGACAACCTGCTGCAGCCGTTATGTACAATTCTCTGCTCTGTGAATGAAGGTTATGAATGTGCTTTGTTTAAACGACCAGGGTGTTGGGCTCACGTGGGGAGTGAGCAGAAAAGCAGGGGCTGAAGGACTCACCACAGGTCCTCGTCGACCCCTCTTGATGTGGTCCAGATTGGGAGCTGGTCCCATGGGGCCCATGTCCCCCCGAGGCCCCTGAGGGCCCGGCAGCCCCCTGAGTCCAGGCTCCCCTGTCCCTCCTGGCTCCCCCCGTGGTCCTGTTACAGAGGAAGAGGGAAGAAGGAGATCTGGGGGGGACCAGCTATGTTAGATGTAACTTTGGATGAACATGCCTCTGTGGCCTCGTCAGCCCTGTTTGCTCATGGCTGCAACACAAGGCAGGCAGAACAGAACTGAGTGGATGTTAGTGGAACTGCTCTCACTATTACTGATAGTTTCTTAAGCCAGTGTCCTTACCCAGGAAGAAGAGTGCTTCACATATTAAATGAAAGTGATCTTTCTTCCTTAAGTAGAAGCAGGTTGCACTGCTGTGACACTTCTAATGGATTTGTGGCTTCCTTTGATTGTCTTATAAAATCCTTTCCCTGTGACATTAAAGAGAGCATTTTCCTCTAAACTCTGGTGTCCTGCCACAAAATTCCATGGACTAACCTGGGGGCCCAGCAGGGCCTGGAGGTCCAGGGTTTCCCGGCAGGTTTTGGGTCTCAGGTCCTTTCCCACTCCAGATATTAGGGGGCTTGTCACTGTCATTGGCCAGACTGAGGGACAGCATCTAGGGAAAGCACATGGGCGCTGTCAGTGTAGGACACTCACAATTACTGTCCTCAGAAGCTTTCCATTTCAATTACAGAAATATCATCCTGTGGACATTGGAGTCTGTAAATGAAATTAATAACATGTCCGAATGCATTATTCACGATTGTAATATTTGGGTTTATAATTATTTTGGACAGCATGGTGGCACAGTTGTTAGTGTTTGGAATGGCTTCAATTCCAGACCTGGGGTGCTGTCTGTACAGAATGTATACTGTATGTCCTCCCACAGTGCAAAGACATACTGGCAGGTTAATTGATTTTGGGGAAAATTGGCACTGTTGTGAGTGTCTGTGTCTGTGTGTCTGCCCTGCGATAGACTGGTCTCCTGTCCAGATTGTATCATGCCTTGTGCCTGATGCTTGCCGGGATAAACTCCAGGTCCCCTGTGACCCTGTATAGGACGAAACTGATCAAAAATGGATAGATAGTATCAAACATGATCCTTTTGCACTCATTTAGCACCAAATGTCATCTGAAACTGGTCCTTTGCTGCATTAATATGGGCTGCTCTTCCCTGTTTCTGTCCTGTACCTGTCCTTATGCTTGCTGTACTTCTAGTCCAGTTTCATCCTGTACCCACCACTATTCAATGTCTACAGAGCAGCAGAAGACCAGGTCTATAACTTCTGAAAAGTATGCAGCCTGTTTATTCCTTGAACACACGCAGAGGTCTCTGTGTGGATCTGTACCTCTCCATGTGCCTCGTGTGCTGTGTCTGACCACGGCAGCGGCTGACCTCTCCTGCCCCCCCACCCGGTCCCTCCTGCACCTCTGCAGTGGTGGGCAAGCTGCTCACCCTCTGTTTGAGCTGCAGGAGGCTGTGCTTCATGTTGAGGAAGTCCTGGCAGGTGAACGAACAGGAGCCAGCGCTCATCAGAGTCTCCGACTTCCCGGCAGAGCTGACTGAACCGGATGGAGGAGTGGAGAGACAGGGAAAGAAGAATGGAGAATGTGCTGGACAGCTCAGAAACTATAGGCTGGACCATAGGAAAATCCCCAAAGAGCAGGGATACAGCACAGACGACATGGTAGTTAAGCCACAGACGAAGAGTGTTTGAGAAATATTCCCACTGCTTTTCATTACAGTATATTATATCAGTAGCCATTTACCCTCCGGACATCTGCCAGAGAGACACTCTGGAGCTGGAAAGGACCCTAGCCTGGAGCTCCAGCTGCCCCTGGGGCCTGGGGTGGCTGATCCTGGAGCTTGGGCTGCCCCTGGGGCTGGGGTGGCTGATGCTGGAGCTCGGGCTGCCCCTGGGGCTGGGGTGGCTGGCTCCGGGGCAGAAATAGACCAGTCTCTCATTGGAAGCCCCTGCCAGTCCCTGAGGTGAGGTCAAGGGAACCAGTGGCAGAACTGCTCCCCAGCTTTCCCAGTAACCACAGAGCACAGCCCCCTCCAGGGGGGCTGAAGCTGTGAGCAGACAAGCCTTTGTGCCCAAATTCCTCTAGAATCTAAAACGTTCAACTTCCATTTAAGTTCTCAGTTTGCATGGCCTCAATGAAAGTATTGGCTTGTTTACAACTTGTCAACTTACTTTTTCAGCTCAGAAAGCCCTAAGTGAGTTTCTCGGATTAATTAGCCACAAGCAACGAAATGTGCTAGATGGGCCGAGTGGTTTGTAAGCATTCTTATGACTGAAAGAGCAGGGAGCCGTGGGCGCTGGCTAACTCACAGTTGTGCAGAGGGGAGCAGGAGCCGCGGTCGGGCGCCAGGGTGTAGCCGCTGCGGCAGCGACACAGGAAGCTGCCCACGGTGTTCTCACACTCCTGCTCGCACACTGTGCCATTGGACTCCTCACACTCGTCCACATCTGGAACAGACCGCAGACACACAGCACGGCCGCAGGGGCACGGAGATCAAACAGGCACCAGCTCATGCTGTGAAATCACCATGCACTCTGACTGCGTTACTTTTTCTTATCTGAAAATGCGCATCTCTAAGGTTGTTTCCTTCCTGATATACAGTGCCCATCACTAAGAATGACCCCATCACCCGAGACCGGCCGAGACTGACCAACGCAGTAGGGGTGTTGGTGGTTCCGATGGCGCTCTCTGTCGAATCGGTATCCAGGGTAACAGGTGCACAGCACCCTCCCGAAGTTATCAGTGCACTGCTGTTCGCAGGGCGAGTGGGCACACACGTCCACGCCTGCGCAGACACAGGGACAGATCCAGAGCCTCAGAGCACACCAGCACAAGCACAGCTCTGCACTCAGCTTGTGTGTTATATGATTAGATATTGAGGTATGCACTGAAATCTAAAAGATGAGTTGAACATTATGTTATTTATAGTTGTAGTTACTGGGATTACCAATAAAGTGCATGCTCTGTATTTTTAAAAATCCAGATTTCATTTCATAGTTTGATAAAATAAATCATATTCCAAGTTACACTATTTTTGAAATGCAAATTAAAATCAGCATTCTGTGAGGACATGGGTTTGTATTAATGAAAAAGACTAGTCAAGAACAAAGGTTTTTGCACATTAGAATTTGTCATTTTTTTTCAAAGCTGAATATACACTATATAACACTATATATAGGGATGTTTGTTCTTGATCTGGAGCCTATATAGTATCATCAGGTAATATGCTATTTCTGTGTTGCTCTCTGAATTGTGCAGTGTAACAATGAATATAAGGATACAATTGAAGAAACATTACAACATGAGCTGGAGCTTGTGCTTTACATTCAGAAGCTTTATAGTACTATAAAGTATAAAAGGCACATCCTCCAGCCATTGAATTTTCAGACATTTTATGTGCTAAATCTGACTTCTATGTATTTCAGAACTGCCAGTTTTAGCAATGACACAGTGCGTATAGCTCTTCCAGGTGGTTTTTCAATGGCATGTATGGAATGGTTAGTGCATTGTCGTGGGGTACAGCTTTGATAAACACAGCTGAGAGCCGCTTTGACAAGCCCTCAGATTTTGTTACATTCAACATCAGTCATCCTGACTGCAGTCACCACCTAGTGGGGAAAGAAGGCATGACACATAAGTACCTGCCAGTACGAGTTTAATAAAGGAACTTTGAACTTGAACTTGAACTTTGAACTTTATTGCCATATGTAACCGGTACTGGTACAATGGAATTCTTACTTACAGAAAGTCTCTCGTTTGTAAAACAAGTGTAAAAAACAAAACAAAGTGCAAACAGTGCATCAGGACAATGTACAAACAAACAATAGACAATGTGCAAGTAAACATGCAGACAGTTTGAATGTAAACAATACAGACGTGTAAACAATGACTGGAGACGTACAATAAATAAATTACAATGAGGTAGATGGTGATGGTGTGGGTGTGGTCCGAGGGGGATGGCTAAATGTGTTCGCCAGTCTCACTGCTTGTGGATAGAAGCTATTGAAGAATCTAGTGGTCAGTGTCCGTATGCTCTTATATCTCTTGCCTGAGGGCAGTGGGGTGAAGAGCTCATGCCCGGGGTGGTGACTGTCCTCTGTGATGGCCAGAATTCTACCACGGCAGCGGTCCTCATAGAGCTGTTTAATCTCGGTGAGACCGCAGCCGATGATCTTCTGGGCCATATTGACCATTCTCTGCAGTGCCTTTCTTTCTCGCGAAGAGGTGTTAAGAACATAAATGTACTGTACCTTCATAAAATTAAGCTGCAGTTCAGTCACATACAAAACGTTTCAAGAAAGAGTGATAGCTTTAAAACTTGTGACTAGAATGTGCAATTTTGTTCATTTGTGACACAAAGTGACGTTTTGGATAGGTTCATATATTTTAATTTATGTGAAACTTTATCGTTAGAGTATAAATGTTGAACCTACTAGGCTCATCATGTAAATGGAAAGGCAATTATTGTTTTTACCTACTTTCTGGGATGCACCTGCCCATCACAAACCTGTACCCCTCACAGCACCTCCTCCTGCCAGGGAGATAAAACACATTATCAGCTGGTTTACAATACTGAGGCAGAGGTGTTGATAGTTGTAGGTTTGACAGATGAGTACCATGAAAACTGGGATTTTATTAGTAAAACACAATGGAAAAACTAGTGAAGCAAAGTCAGTTACTACAGTGCTAAATAAAACACTATGCAACTCTAGGATGATCAATTTAAAACAGGATTACTCGCAAATCATTAGAACAGTGAACCTAAAATATTGTAACGTGCAAAATGATGACACTTATATCCAGGATAACAGCTTGAGGAAACAGGAAACTTGAGGAATAGCAAGAAAGAGGGATAGTATCAATTCTATGTACTATGTATAAGAGGACTGCTTCGTAAGAGATGCTGAGCCTATTCAGAGAAGAAGGACATTCAATTTTATATTTTAAGACAAAAACTTGCAGCAAGTAGCAGTTCTGTCATTATTTTAAAGCAGTATAACTGATGGTCTATTACCATTGGTGCCAAGAGACCTGAGAAAGTGTGAACCTGTGAACCTGTGAAGCTGTTCAGGGTTCAATACTGCCATCTGCTGGAGTAAAACGAGATCTCAGGCAGCTACCGTCAGCTCTGGGGTTGTCAAGCTTGAGCTTACATCAGAGCTGCTGGTTAGGAAACCACATTCCCAGCTCCCTCCTGTGGGAGACAGGTCCCCCAGGCTGACATCCTCAAACCCAATAAACGTACATTAGTTACAGTACCTGGGAATTTTACAAATCTACGAAGCAAGGAACCACACCCCATATACTGCCCTATAAACAAAAATCACAAAAATGGAAGGAGGAAGCATGTGAGAAAAGCTCAAGAAAACTCTCCACATGGGTTTGTTTTGCTGTGCAGTATATCTGGAAACTCTATTTTATGGCCACTGCTTAAACATCTAAAGGTGAGTGAATATCTAGCAGCCATATCACCCTGTAACTCACAACTGGCAACCCACTGAAGCTCAGCAGGTGTGAGCCTGGTCAGTACCTGGATGGGAGACCTCCTGGGAAAAACTAAGGTTGCTGCTGGAAGAGGTGTTAGTGGGGCCAGCAGGGGGCGCTCACCCTGCAGTCCCCACTAACAGGCGCCGTCCTTCGGATGAGACGTAAAACCGAGGTCCTGACTCTCTGTGGTCATTAAAAATCCCAGGGCGCTTCTCGAAAAGAGTAGGGGTGTAACCCTGGCATCCTGGCCAAATTTCCCATTGCCAATGGCTACATTACTCTGCTCTCCTCCCTACTAAAACAGAGCGTTCTGGTGCACTATGGCTGCTGTCGCATCATCCAGGTGGGGCTGCACACTGGTGGTGGTGGAGGGGATCCCCATTACCTGTAAAGTGCTTTGAGTGGAGTGTCCAGAAAAGTGCTATATAAGTGTAAGCAATTATTATTATAATTATAATACCAGTATTTGGTATCTGACACCTAGTATGTTTTAATTTCTCAAATGTTTTTCATTTCATCTTCTGTATCCGCCATTTGAATAGTCCAATTTATATGTCAAAATTTTAAATACCCCTGTATTATAGTGACATGTATGCTACATTACTTCCTGTACTCTTACAAGTTATGTTTTACATGTAACCCCACCTCATCCTTTCTGTTCTGCCTTTCTTTCCAAACCGCAGCGCCCATTAATTTTGCCAATGTTGCAGCTGTTCTTACAAGCTATACCTTTATAACCTTGAGGTACTAGATGGCGAGGCTCTGTAGTACTTCACTAATACATTTACTCCCCTACAAATGACCTTGCCCCCAACATCACCCCAAAAGAAACCATATTCACTGTTTTGTAATGTTTGGCTCATTTTCTCTGTTATTTTTTTTTGTGTAATAAGCTTTGAGCCTTTTCTTGCATTTTATTGCTTATACTTGCAGCACTCAAATCATCTGTTCAATAAGTAAGTGTTGTGTCTGCTTTGCTTGTCCCTTTCCTGCTTTTAACCCTTAACCCTTTTAGAAAACTGAGCACATATTTAAATATACATAATGCAGTCCCACAGAGGCACATACCTTGTTTACCTCATGACATTTCAATATACTGCTCGGTCTCTTATACTCAGGTTCTGAACAAAAGCTTACTTTTTTGTGAGAAAATGATGAATACTTAATGAGGACACAGCAATGCGTTCTGGTTCATGATGCTATTTGCTCTACACATGCTTGCAGAAACCCATACTGTACCTATAAAGGGGTATTCTGTCAGGCTATATTCCTTTGGCAGTTAGTGCCCATTGTATTCAAAGTTTCACTTAACTCCAATGGGAACAAAGTAGTAATGTGGAGCAAAATAATTTAGGATATAAGAGAACACACTCTTGAGATATTCACTGTGAAAAGGATCTCTGTGAAAGGGATTGACTGATTAAATTCATGATTACTAGAGACCAAAAGGTGTGATACCAATCTCTGACACCTGGCCCAGCATGTGCTGAAATGTTTGGATTTTCTTCAAACTAGCTTTCTGATGTAAAAAAAAACAACTACATCATCCTTATCTTCAGCACATTCTTCAAACCTGGATTTACCATTGTGGGGGATGGAGGCTGACATATTTTAACTGTTGCCTTCTTGAGGATTCAGTGTTAAGAAGAAAGTAAAATATTTTTCTAGAAATCTACCACATGAAGTTCAGAAAACCACCCTGGAATAAACAAAGCAAAAATCTCCATCTCCCTGTAATGGCCCCTGCATGTCAGAAATAAGGAAAGAATTTTGCTATTTGAGAAGGCTGGTATACAATAAGTTAATTCCATACTGGTCTTAAGGAACTTGGCTGTGCTTCTGTCTTTCTTTTCATTCTTGTGAAGTTATTATCTGTGTTTCATGCAATGCTTGGATCCTATTTACATTTTCCATAGCTTCATGGACTGGGACCCGCAGTGTGATGACCACCTCAATGTGTATAGTTTCTCTCACAGGAATCACTTAATGCAAATGAGAAATGAGGCGACAATCTCAGGAAAAAAATACACTTATAATTGTCCTGAGGTTTGCAAAACAAAGGGAGATAGGACTGGGGAGAGGATGTGGTCAAAACTCTATTGTCAACATCTCCTTCTGTAGGCTCTCTTGCAGGCTGTTTGAATGCCAGTGAGATTGAAACAATCACAGTTTGATGACCAGGCTGAACTATCTCATCAGAGGAATGTGTTTTTTTTACTCCCTCACAACTCCCTCCCATTTCCAGTTGGATGTTATGAGATTTAGGGCTGATTAACTCCAGGCCTGTAGTACTCTCCTGGTGAGTATGAAGGTGTGATACTGTGTCTTATCTAAGGATGCTACTATAATTATTGACTTTAAGAACACTGCACCCCAGAGCATGTTTTGTGTGGAACAATATCACATCTGGCTTGGTTGTTTTGGGGGCTACAGGCTGAAAAATGCATTCAGTACCTCAGAAGTGATACAATCCCAGTACAATACACTTTGGATATTATATTTATATAGTATATAATACTAGTCATATTAATGCATGATAAATAGGAGCTACAGGACCAAATAATATACTGCATCTTTGTATGATATGTTTTAAGATAAAACGTAAGGTAAATTGAAATAGTTATTGATCATGCATTCTTGTATTAAGAAACTATACATAAACTGTAACTGTAGATATTAATGATTACACTTCACTACTTGCTACATGGCTATGCTTTTAATTACCCTGTTCTCTGACACACAGAGTGGAAAGCACATTTTTGCTAAGCACTATTTTTCCTTTCAATAGACGTTCATTATAAGATCTGAAGCTCATTCATAGACGTACAGTAAATTCATGGCAATTTGATGGCATTTTATTTGAAAACTTTTCAATCTGATAAGTGTGGTTTCCTCTTCTATGATATTTTATGAATGCAGAATTCACAAAAACACAGAAGAGACCACTCATAACAAATAGTCTTCCTTTAACTATCATTTATACTTCAAAATACACATCACTGGCTGTGACAGGACATTCACAATGAAGACACCGTCTCACAGGTGGTCGGTGTTTAACTAAGCAGATGCCACAAAACAAAACCTTCGCCTCTGGACTCTAAACTAGACAAAGAGTACAGAAATTGATTCAAATTCCCTTTAATTGTGATTGTTGAAATTATTTGTCAAACATTGAAGTAAATGGATCCAGCTCCTATTTTGTCCGGCTGCTCCACAATATCCCTGAATCCCATGAAAGGCTGCAAGCCAAACTAGAGTTCTCTGACGTTTCATTCCATTCATACCACACAGCCTAAGTGCACCCCAGATACAGATACTAAATAATGAAACATAACCCGGAGCATATGGTCATGATTAACTGTAAGTAATGTGCAGAAGTAAATCAAATCATTGTTACCCAATCAGTTTGTGCTAATTTTCTGTATAGGTTTAGGTATAGGTTTATAGGTTTAGGTATAGGTTAGGTATAGGTTTCTGTATAGGTTTGGTCTAATCTTTTTACTTCTTATTTGTTAGATTAATTAAGTTGTTTTGTTTTTTTTTTAATTTTAACTTTGATCTCAGAGAAGCTATAGGGCTGAGTGACCATCAGTGATGCCCTAACTCCCCAGTCACTTTACAAAAGGGCAAATTTTGAAAACTCAAACAAAACAGAGTGTGGATTGAGCTTCGTGCCTTATAAAAAACAGGAAATAATCACAACGCAATGCATTTTTTGTTAAGTATCATGAAAGCTAATTTCATTTTAAATTAATTTATTTTCAGACACATTTAGCTTTTAGATGATTATCTTTTAAATTATGTTGTTCACAACTGTTCTTCATTTATCCATATGTTACAGTATGTTACAGTACATCACTCAGCTGATTGAATAAGGCCAAAGAGATGCAGTCGGGAAAGAATGAACTTATTAAATCAGGACTGTGTGTGAAATGAACATATTTTAGAACTGTCACTGTTTTCAGCGTCTCTGTCTCCAAGATGAAGGTTCACAAACTATTTCAAAATCATGCTTCCAATTGCAAAATTCCCTAATTTCAACAG